CAAAACTTTTGGAGAGTGATTCCTTTTATATTATGCTATCTTCTCCCCTGTTTTCTTCTATCTTTTAGGAATTCAATATTTATCTTAGCAGACCTTAGAAGCCCCTTATAATCTTTTAATAAATTTTATTTAAATATAGGAAAAAATGTCTCTATGAAAACAAAACCACATCTACATAAAGTTTTAGTGTAAATCTTCTTGGGAAATGGATTTTTGAAGACTGGAGAAATAATATTAAATTCTGAACAAAATCAGAAAGACTAGAATATATAATATTGCTGGGCTTAGCATAAATTTAAGAGTAGGGAGTGAGGAAAATGAGGCATGCTTTTATATGGAACAAAAAAAATAAAATACCAACCAGTAAACAACTTGCCTTGGATAGAAATAATCATTAAAAGATGGCAGTATTGTAGGCAATACTTAAACTACATGATCAGTTAGCTAGAGTGTCACCTCTCATTATGAAGCTTTCTATTCTAAGCCTTTCCTCCACCGAGTTTGAGGTATGATTCCTGAGGTGTATAATGCTATTTTGCTTCTTACTACAAGTATGAATACTAGTTAAAAGATCTTTTGTTAAACAAAGGAAAGCAGATGGTTTTGCCAGAGAGCTATTTCCTATCCCCGGTAGATTCTGTGCCCAATTATAAGTTTGCAGATAAAACTTCCATTCTCAAGGTTATCCTAAGTGAGAAGAGAGACACAACAGACAATGTAAGAATAGATGCAAATCACACTGTGTATTTGTGGTGATTCTCCAGCATATTCAAACAAGTGAAATATGCTTAAAATATTGCAAATATCAACAGCAGTCCAATCTTGAAAAGAAGTGGGGAACAGGAAGAAGAGCAGAAAGGGCAATAGATACAGTTCCAAGGGGATTGTGGAAGGAGATGGCAGGTGCTTCTTGGCAAATCAGCCTAAGGGTGTCCTAGCAAGCAATCAGGGGCAGCCCGCCCCCCCCCCCCCCCCCCCCCCGGCCCCAACGGCAGCACCCTGCCCTCTCTGCTCCCTGTGCCCTCCTCCCATCTCCCTCTACCCTAGGTTCACAACAGCGGAGACTTGGGGCCCATCCTCATTTTCTGTATCTTGAGAAAGATCTGTCCTTTGACTCAAGAGTAAAAGATGGAGAAGATGCCCCCTCCAACGAGCACTTTGTGGTCCCTTCTGCTTCCCATCGTAATCACTGCAGTCCTGGCCAGTCACCTCAAGGGTCACCTTTACTTTTGATTGTGAAGAAAATTTGGATTGTAAAACAAATACGGTGGAGGTAAATAATAAATGTAATTGCATTTGATGCAGATTAGCACAGTTTCATGACATTAAAGTACCCCTATTCTATCTGTTATCTTTTTTTCCTTATGGATCCTTCTAGACTATGAATTTTCTGCCTTTCAGCAAGCTGGCTCATATCTTTACTTTCTACCCTTTTGTTACAAACTGTACAAGAAATTTCACTTTGCCCTCTGAGTACCAAGTTCACTTTCTGCTTTATGTATTTATTTATATTATAATCTCTGTTTATATTCAAAAAGGGTTTGCAGTGATTATTTCTCTAGTTGAATCCTGGGCACTTTGTCAAAAATCGCTTTCCCAGGAAAACCTGCTTTATCAATTGGCTCAGAATTCCTTTGACTGAGTCCCTCAGAGTCTATTTTCTCTCCTCTTCTCTGAGGTAAGGTCTTTCTGAACATATGATTAGCCTCCATCCCTGCCACACCACAGCCTGCTACTTGAACTTACAAACCTTCTGTCTTCTTAAAGTCTTACTGAGCTTTGGGTCCATACCACACAGTTTAGCCCTTAATTTCCTCTAATAATTACAAGAGTGCTAGCCTTGCCTACTCTATTATATAGTGAGCCTAGGATACAAAAATAGCTGATAAATACTAATTTTTAAAAATCTCTTAGAGAAAGACAGGAAAAACTTTATTTTGTGTTCATTTAACTATTTTATTTATTTTATTTTATGTATTTATATCTTACAAGGTTTATTTTATTTGCATGGACTCAATGCTTATCTATTCTGGCCACAACAAACATAGTTGAGTTTTATTTATTTTCTCCTTTTAGAAAATCTTTCTAGATCCTGATTGGTAGACATTAAAATCAACCCCTCACCCTTTTTTTTTTTTTTGAAAAGCTGCTTGTGTGTTTCAGACTTATCCAGGACCTACTGTACAATCAGTGCAAAGAGAAAAAAGATGTCTTTAAAATATGGCTGGGCACTCAATGTAAACTGTGGCAAACATAGAAATTGGCTCACGTGCACACAGCATTGTATAAAACATTGATCTTCCAATTCCACTGACAGATCCCTATAGGACAAAAGTCCTCAAGACTTGATCGTTCACCTTATAAATTCTTCTATGTGTGACTGTTTCCTTACTAACATAAACTTCAGATTATAACTTAACTTCCCTGATGGACTACAGAAAAATACCCTGTTTCATACGGACACAGCATTCCAGTTCCCGGATTTATTCTATTCTTTTGTCTGTCTGTTTGTCTCACTATTAATTAATACCGCCATTCTGATGCCAAAACCTGTGGGAATTTTAGTTACAGTGAATTAGCTCAACTGCTGATCACCCACAAACACTGACGAGAATGAGTAACTGGGACCAGAGCCTGGAATGGGTTATCGAATAGGCTGTCACCACCAGCCTTTCCTGGGCCAATTAACCCTGCAACTTCCCTCTCCCACATTGACACACAAATGTTTTCCCACAAAACAAAATCAGAGTGATCATTTCCTGGGCCACCCTTCAAGATGTAATGCATCCCCATGTCCTCCTAAACCTCCTTGAGTCTGGATTCCAAAACCTGAGCTCAGAGTGCTCAGAGTGCTGAGCACCCCAGACCCCTGAAGTGAACATGGAGAGGTTGGGGCTCTACAGGCACAGCCAGGCAGCCTCTGCAGTAATACGATCAAAAGACATCCTTCTTGCCCCCTCTCCAGAAATGAATTCTTAGAACTCTGTATCAATAAGGTAGAGAAAATGGATTCTTTGACTAATATTTATTGAGGCAGCTTTGTGCTAGTCGGACTAAATAGAGCAGATCTTGCTTTGTCAAGGTTATATTCTAATGTCAGCAGGGCCGGTGGGTGGTCAAAAAATAAATATGTTAATAAGTTATAAAATATCATGTGTTAATAGTACTGTGAAGGTCATTACATGGGCAAATGTTAAAGAGAATGACTAGGGGAGAGAATAAGACCACTATGGATAAGGTGGCCAGAAAATAACTTCTGGAATGGAGACATTTAAGTCTCAACCTGAATAATGATGATCTGGGGGCTGCACATTGTGGACAAAAAGCCAGATGGCCCGCATAGCTGGAAGACAGTAGACTTGGTGCAAGGTGGTATGAGATACAGGTGGTAATTAAATGGTATAGGCCCTTGGAGATAAAACTGAAGAGTTTGGATCTATTTTAGTTCCAAGTCTATTAGAAGGTTTAAGCAAAGTGGCACCAGTGCACTCTCCATTCTAAAACCATAACTCCGACTGCTATGTTGGCATGAATTGTAAAGTGGTAAATATGAAGGAGAGAGTTAGGGTAAGAAGCTATATCTATCCATCACTCTGGCAAGAAATGATGATTGCTTGGATTGTTGTGGTAAAATGGAGGTTGAGGAAATAGACCATAATAGGACATAATTCAGTTTGGTCAGAGATAACAAGACTAGCTCAAAAATGAGATGCGTGACTGAGAATTGAGGTAACTCTTTCAATTTTGATGCGAGCAATTGAGTGGTTTGCAGTTCCATGGAATTGGAGGTGATAGACTGTGGGAGGAACAGATTTGAGGGTGGCAGAGGAAGCTAGGGAAATAAAAGTTCCTTATTGGCTAATTTGTTTTAATTGGCTCTTAATTGGTTCTTAAAAATCCAGGGGTAGGAAAAATCAGACTAGACCACTGAAGACATGAGTCTGATTTTCTAGGTAGACATCAGGGTTGTCAATATAAATTAGGGTATCAGCAACAACTGCAAGCTATGAGATTGGATGATATCACATAGGAAAGGGTTTATATGGAGAAAGTAAGAGTCTGAGAGCTAAATTACTCCAAGATTTAAAAATCAGATAAGGGGCAGTGGGGAGCCAGAAAAGAAGACAGAGGAACAGCCATTGAGTTAGGAGGACCGCGAAGGGAATTTTCCAATACTGAAGCCAATGGAAAGTGTTCCAAGAAGAGAGAAAACTAATCAAGTACAAATGAGAGATTGAATAAGATCATCATGAAGAAATAACCATTGTATTTAACAAGTAGAAGTTAATGAGACCTTGGAAAGCTTTTTTTAAGTGATTATGTCTGATAAAAAGAATGTGATATAACACTTTTTCTACTTAAATTTCATAACCAATCTAATGCTGAAAAAATTAAGTGGAAAGAGATGTTATCTAGACTATGAAATTCAGCATGGAAATACTAACTATAAATAAATGTAAAGAGGGGCGCCTGGGTGACTCAGTCCGTTAAGCGTCTGACTTCGGTTCAGTTCATGATCTCACAGTCCCTGAGTTCGAACCCCGCTTTGGGCTCTGTGCTGACAGCTCAGAGCCTGGAGCCTGCTTTGGATTCTGTGTCTCCCTCTCTCTCTCTGACCCTCCCACATTCATGCTCTGTCTCTCTCTGTTTCAAAAATAAGTAAATGTTAAAAAAAATTTTTTTAAGTAAATGTGAAGAATTTTGCCATATTATATAAAGGACAAACTGAAGAGCTATCATTACATCATCTGGCTTAAAACATTTTCCAATCAAAGAGATATCTAAATATTGGAATCAATTCCTGCAATATTGAAAGATAATTTTTTCATATTCAGATATTCATAATTTCTGGTTTATTAAGGTCTTAACCCATGTATATGGTAGTCATGAAGTAGAGATAGATTGGTCTAAAAAATCATTTGACTTCGGGTAAAAAGCTATTTGTAGCAGGTGAAAATAAATTTCTGTGACTTAAAACCATGTTTTTTTCTCTAACCCAGGTATGGTGACATGGTACCAAAAACCATAGCAGGGAAGATATTTGGTTCCATCTGTTCACTGAGTGGGGTCTTGGTCATTGCTCTACCTGTTCCAGTGATCGTATCTAACTTCAGTCGGATCTACCACCAAAATCAACGAGCAGACAAACGGAGAGCACAGAAGGTGTGTATTCAGCTCTGTGCAATCATGATTTAACATCTCCCCCTTTTTATAGTGAGCTTTAAAAATCCCTTACTGGCTATTCAGTGTTCCAGTTTTGGTCGATAGTTGCATAAGTCAGCACAGGCTAGGTTATACTACAGTAAAAAAGGAACCTTAATATCTCAGTGGCTTAAAACAACAAGGAATATTTCTCAGTCATGCTGCGGGTCCATTGCTGGTCCAGTGATAGAAACTCCATCTTGACAAGGTATTCTGCAATCATTCAAGCCGGGGTAACAGGACATGATGAATCACGCTGACTCCTAAAACCTCCTCCTGGAAGTGGGCCAAGTCACTTCCATTTCTATTGCACTAGCCAAAGTAAGTCACATAGCCGTGTGTAACTTCAAAGTGGGCAGGGGAATATAATCCTACTGTGCAATCAGAGGCAGAGAGAAAGAATTATCTAGTAAACAGCACTAATGATAGTAGTAAAATCAAAGATAGATTCTTGGCAAATTTTATCAGAATCAGATTTCTAGATCTAATTAATTTCGTCTTTGCCCATCAGGGATCAAGCTGGTTCCAGTAAGCAAGGACTATTAAAAGGAACTAAGATATGTCTCAGATATTTTAAATAGTTGACCCAGGAAGTAGGAGAAATCTGATCATTAATAGCTGAGTTTTATTCCTGGCCCAGTTTACTGTTTCTCTGAACTTCGTGCCAGTTATTAATCCCTCTAAGAGTAAGGGTGTATACACAACTGTAAGATGGGGAAAATGTACCTACCTGAAAGATTTATATAAATCTATATGAGTATATCATAATAGTAACAATATTTAACATTTATTTCTGGTTTTACTATGTGCCGGGTACTGGTTTGGTGTTTTTCTTTTTAATAATTCATATTGTTTTCATGAGTCTAGGAGTGAGTCAACATTATTATTCCTATTTTTTAGATAAGGATCCGAAAGTACGCAGAAATTGAGAAATTCAATCTAAGCCAACCTGACACCCAGGTTCATACACATAAACATTATGGTAGACTGCCTCTCAGAAAACCCGACTAAATGTTAACACACTTCCCTTCTCCAATTTTTGTCAAAATAGTCACCTTTAGAGTCAGGGCCCTTGCTGCTTAGAAATAATTTTGGAGGGGCGCCTGGGTGGCTCAGTCAGTTGAGCGTCTGACTTCAGCTCAGGTCATGATCTCACAGTCCATGGGTCCGAGCCCCATGTCGGGCTCTGTGCTGACAGCTCAGAGCCTGGAGCCTGCTTCCGATTCTGTGTCTCCCTCTCTCTCTGGCCCCTCCCCTGCTCATGCTCTGTCTCTCTCTGTCTCAAAAATAAATAAAAACATTAAAAAAAAAAAGAAAGAATTTTGGAAATCTCTTGTGTAGTTTCTTTAAGACCATGTCACTAAATTTCCAGTATTCCTCATGGATACTCCATCGTTGTCCTTTATGGATAGATAGTTTTTAATATCCACAACCATGACTAAAATGGATCCACAATGCCAGTAATGTAGTATAACTCTAAACTATCATGAGACATTTGGGTGCAGTTCAAAGCTACTGGCTTTGTAGCTAATTCCAGAACAGGATTTTAAGTATGGTTTTGAACAATGTTGGTCTTTTAGTCGAGTATAAAATCTCAAAAAAGTAACTCTCGGGAAAGTTCAGGGTAATCAGTGTGGTCACAGAGCATATTGTCCAAAGAACATGTTCAAGTCTAACATCACAGATCCTCTGCCTTTTGCAAAGAGTCACTTTTTCAGCCTTGTCCTTTCTTGCTTTATAGACTCCCCCAAGTTTGGACAGGTACCTAGCCTTTAATTATTGTAAAGAATAGAGTAGTCCGATTAATATGAATTTTGGAACTGATAATTCAATAAACAGAGGCTAGCAAAAGGCACCTTCTGAGCAGTTTTGTAGTCTCACGTAAGGTATATCTTTGGAGATGGAGAAATTGTGACCACCATTGGCCTCTCCCCCAGGACTTTCATGCTCACAACTGTGGCTCTGCCCACACGTTACAATCCTTCTAACTGGGCACACATGTACATTGTTTAAAATGACAAAAATCCTACAAAAATCTTAGATGCCCAGGACCCATCCATCTTCATTCTAGAAATCCCTTCCTTGATATAAGAGCATAAGAGCTACCTATAATTCATTTTCCCAGTGGAGGAGGTTGGGGTGCGGTGGGGGGGGGGAACTACCTATATGGAAAACGTAGGAAGTACAAATCTGATTTTCAAATAAATTGAACACCAAAATATCTGTATTTTCTTCAAACTTTGTCATCTGCAACAATCAGATCGGGAAAGAAAATCTTAGAATAATTTAGAAGCCTTTTTGCATAAATAAATATAGAATTTATTCCTTAGTTAAAGGCAGTTTAGGTTTATCTGGAATGAGGTGATTTGACAAGTATAAAAGTTATGAAAAATTAGCCACTAATTCAGTCAAGCAAACAGTCCATTTAGTAAAAACATCAGTCAAGCTGAATAATAAGGAATATTACAAAACACTTTTTTAGACCATGTTTTTCTGCGTTTGGTCCATTTTTCAACTCTAAGCTCAAGCAAAAGTGTGAAATATATCCAATATGCATCTGAGGGGTGCCTGGGTGGCTCCATCAGTTAAGCATCCGACTTCAGCTCAGGTCATGATCTCACGATTCATGAGTTCAGGCCCCACGTCAGGCTCTGTGCTGAGAGCTCAGATCTTGGAGCCTGCTTCAGATTCTCTGTCTCCTTCTCTCTCTGCCCCTCCTTGCTCACACTGTCTCTCTTTCTCTCTTAAAAAAAAAAAAACAAACATTAAAAAAATTTTAAATATACATTTGAGAACACTCTCCTCGGCACACGGGATACTTTCCCTCTTCTAAGCTCTTCCCCCCCAGCAAGTACTCTTCCTGCTTTCACTACCTATCTCCACTCTTAAAAGAAATGCACATTTCTAGCCACCCTTGATCATTTTTTTTTAAGTTTATTTATTTTGAGAGAGAGAGAGTACGGAGGAGGGGTAAAGAGAGAGGGGGAGAGAAGAATCCCAAGCAGGCTCTGTACTGTCAGCGAGGAGCCCAACTCAGGGCTTGAACTCATGAACAATGAGATCATGACGTAAGCCAAAATGAAGAGTTGGTCACTTAACCGACTGAGCCACCCAGGCACTCCATCCTTGATCATTTCTTAACTAAACACCGACCTGTGGGTCAGTATAGACTTAAACTGGAGCATGTCTCCTTCCACCCCCACCACTAGTAATTGTATTTTAATAGATGTATTTATTCAATAGTATTTCAGTTATCCAGTGGTATTTATTGATTGGAAAATTGCCAGGGCATCTGGGTGGCTCAGTCGGTTAGCATCAGTCTCTTGATTGCCGCTCAGGTCATGATCTCATGGTTCGTGAGGTTACTGAGTTTGAGCCTTCTGTTGGGCTCTGCACTGACAACATGGAGCCTGCTTGAGATTTTCTCTCTCTCTCCCTCTCTGTCTGCCCCTCCCCTGTTCTCCTGCATGAGCTCTTTCTCTCTCTCTCTCCCCCTCAAAATAAATAAATACACATAAAAATTGTTTAAAAAGAAAGTAGTTGCCAAAATAAAGCTAAATTGATACAATGACAGATGGTAGGGTTGATATTTTGAAGTAGGGAGCCTACCTTGCTTTAAGATACAAATCACACCAGTCAATCAAGGTGTGATTACAAGGCTAATTGTAAGTAATTTTCATGTATAATAGTAATCATAATTATAATTATAATTTAATAGTACTAATAGAAAAAACAACAACCCTCTCCAGAGTTTCTAGTATATCCCAGGTTCTTTATAACTGTTATTTTTATTTTCACAATCAACTCACACAGAAGTGTTATTATTTCCATCTTACAGATGACTGTCTTATGCATGCACACCTACTGATTAAAGTCTAAGACAAAGAAATTCTGGCATCATTAGAGTTATGTATTTTAGGGATTTTCCTATAGATAATTCTAAATACAGTGAGAAGTTTTGAATCAATGAGCCCATGTACAGCCAATGGACAATGTAAGTACAATTTTTTACTTGTCACATAAAAATGTTGGCACTGATACAGAAAGAAGTTACCAATACTCAGTCTTTTATCATACTTTGCTCTGGTGGTTGCCAAACTTTAGATTCATTGGAATCATCTGAAATAGAATATAAAATATAGATTGTTAGACCCACCCCTGTAGCATTTGATTCAATAGTGTGGGATTACAGTCTGAAAATTTCCTAAGTGATGGCGATACTGTTGGTCTGGAAACCATACTTTGAGAACCATTGTCTAGTACATTAATTAATGTCCAAATCAAATAATTTTTATAGAATTCTAGAATAAATAAAATAAATAATAATAAATACAGCCTGAGTATGATCTCTCTTAGATTATCCAATATTAAAAAGTATCACTCAGGCCCTACCCCACATCTCTGTGGATAACTAGATGTTTATCTATAGTTTAAGAACCCCCATTATCAACACATGTAAGAGTCTGGAGGTTATATACTTCTTGATATCCACTGTATGTTTCAGTCTTATTGAATTACTGAGTTCTGCTCTTAAGTCTCCATTCCATCTTCATACCACCTGGCAAACCCCTACTCAGGGTGCAATACTCAGCTCAAATATTACCCATTTTATGAAGATTTCTCTAAATGATGTGGACACCATTAATTGCTCCATCTTCCCTTCTACAATATTACGCGGACTCTACTATCATGTAGTATACATATTCTCCTTCTCCTCCATTTGTCTGAGTGTGGTGCCCAGCCTAAAATAAGCACTTAACAATTTGTGAAATGAGTGAAAGAATGAACAGTGAACTCTTGTTCACCTTGACAGTGTCCTCCATTCCTAAGGTTGGGTGGACAGTCCTAGGGCCAGTTGAAAACAATATTGGGAAGCATGAGTTTTGTCTTTGGTACCCTCCCACATCTTCTTTCAGTTCTTACCTCTTCCCACCTAGAGAACTCTCGTGGCCCTCTCTTTCACTGACCCTTTCTTTCAGGGTCCCTTCCACTGACCCAATTGCCGGCATTGTTTCTGCCCAGCCCTGCAATTACCAGGATTAACCAAGCTCTAGGGCTGACAGTTTTGCACTATCTTCAACTGATTTCTTCTCTCTCTCTTTTTATTAATATTTGGCACTAACTTGTCTCATTTCTAGGGGAGCTATTTACCTTAACAAATGGAAAGGTTCCAATAAATCCTTAAATCTGTAAAAGCTGTTAACGCTTACTCTGCTACCTCCACATGAGGCATTTTACTAAACCTTAAATGAAAGAAACAAGTCTAAGTAAAATTTCCAGAATAAAAGGTACATGCAGCATGCGGGCTGGTATTTGAAGAGTAAGGAATTGCCTCACATTACAAAGGAGAAATGTCTTCTCTACCTGACTTGTAAAGCTACCTAGGATACCTTTATTTTTCAAAGGTATTAAAAACATTTTGTGACTTGACAACAACATGGTCCAATAACTCCTCACAATCTACCTCCCACTTCATTTAGAAGATAGATCACATATAAGAAAATTGCTATCTCAGTGGTTTTTGGCTTATACCATCTCTGATTGGGTCCCCTGCTGTTTCAGGGAATACATTGTAAAGTTTATATAATGTCATTTGGTACAATTAAAAATCAATCCACTTGCTAAAAACCACTGCATTCTAGCCTCTGAAAACTCTACAATAAAAGGGTTCCATGTCAAATTAGTTTGAGGAAAATTATATACCATATCCCCCTTTTGACTTCACAGTGAACATCCACAATATGTTGTAAGGAGTCCAACAGCAAAGAAACCTATTTGACTTCTGGGCATTTCCAAACTTCTCTTGACCACAGAACCTGTTGTTTGTTCATTTGGTTGGTTTGGATTTTACCCATAACACTTACTAGTTCCTTGGACCCCAACTTTGAGAAATCCTGCTGAATTTAGAGAATTTAGATGAAAACTGAATTTATGAAGAATTGAGATGCTTGGGGGAAAATGTGCTTATGAGACAATTTATTTTTACCAACACCATCGGTGTTTCTCAAGAATTTGAAAATAACTTCAAAGCTATGTTTGTTTGTTTTTACATAGACAATATAAGCCTTTTTGTTTAATTAAAAATCTGAAAGCCTCCTATTTTCCAAATAGGCTAAAGTATTTAGTGAGACTTTACTTTCACGCCATAATATTTGCTGGTACTTGACTGTGCCAAGAAGTTGTATTTCCTACAAAATAGGGGTGGGGGCTGCAAGGAATACATTTCCTCTTACTAGCCGGTGATTTTCTTTTAACCTCTCATCTACAAAGCCACAGTTGCCAAGATCGTCATACTGAGTGGGTCAGAAGCAAAGTGATTTTCTAAAATATCTTCATAAAAGAAATTTCCTCAATTACCTACTGAAAGCAAAGATGTAATCACAGGTCATAAAAGCTGGCATTATTCAACAGGCATTTGGTGTGGTGCTCCACAAGACCGATTAAACCAATTAACTCATATACTATTGTTGTAAAATGAAAGAAAAGTCGTGATTGAAATTTGAGATGGGAGGCTTTTTCTAACATAGTACGCGGCCTAGCAAAATGGCCATTCTGTCCTTGCAACAACTGCTTCTTTTCCCCTAAGCTTAGAACTACTTCTGTAGTAGCGGATGCCACCATATGTAGGCTTTCCCAATGTGGAAAATATGTGTCATTTTCCTTTGCTGGACAGTATTTTTGGCTAATGTAAATAAATGTCTCATTTGTGAAAAAAAAATGTTTTCTAATACTGCTGCTGGATGCTTGGAGAATAACATATGTGAGACTAGGAACTAAGATACAGGCAATGTAATTGCATGCATTAATTGCAGAAGGAAGGAAGGAAGGAGAGGTGTAAGAAAGAAGGGAGGGGGGAAGGAGGAGGGAGGGAAGGAGGAGGGAGAGAGAAAAGGTGGGGGGAGAGGGAGACCCCCCCCCCCCAAAAAAAGGCATTGACTGTTTCAGGAGACCAAGGAGACTTTAGGACTTAAATTTCCACAATAATCCCTTTCTGGAAACCAAATGTATATTTAAATTAGTTATTTCTGAATTATTACATCTATTCAAAGTCATTTCCAAATATGCTTGTCATTTCCCATTGTTTTATCAACTCTGGCCTGAAATCCTGTCTGGGCAGCACAGCTTTTGAAGTTAAAAATTTCCTACCTTCCCACTTCATTCTCTAGTGCTTTGAGTGATCTAAACAGTATACTGCCAACAAAGAGTGAAATTTGTCTATTTTTCCCATCATTTATAAATATGATCTTTGTACAAAGTATTATTTTAAGTTGGAATCAACAAACAGGAAGAATAAATTCAAAGAGGAAGAGAGAAGGGGTAGAGTTGAAGCCAGATGATATCTTAATGCTATTTTGAGAGCTTCAGATGTCTCAGTGCTACTCTTAAATGCTGTGAGTGAAAGGGCATCTTGGTACAACTTTGGAGGGAAGTTTGGTAAAACACACACACACAGACATCCTTTGATCTAGGAATACTTCTGCTTCTAGAAACTGTCTTGCCGAAAAGCACATCATGATGTTCAAGGCAGGACCCATTGCTTGTAGTAGCAAAAGATGCTTTAAAAAATTAATAGTAGTTGGCTGGTTAAATAAATGGTGCTTTATTCATTGGTATATTATATATTTATAATGAATGAGGTGGATCTATATATTTAGATATGGAAGGAGTTCCAGTATGTAATAAATGGAAACAGCTGAGTGCAAAGGAGTGTGAGGCATATTGTCCCAAATGAGTAAAAATATGTGTGTATAAATGTATGAGTACACACACACACACACATACACGCTTTTATCTCCCTAGAAAATTTCTGGCAAGATTCACTAGAAATATTACCAGTGGTTGCCTCTGAAGCATAGCAGTAGGGTAGCTCCAGGGTCCAGAGAGACTTACTTGTTTTTGATGTACTTTTGTATTAATAAAATCTTTGTCATATGTATGTATTCATTTTTCATTTTTAAAAAGCTAGATAATTTTTAAATTTTTATTTTAAAAAAATCTCAGGGTTAAAGACCACAGATAGTATTTATCTGGGTTGTTTAGAAAGGGAAAAGAAGGAGTCTTTATGGGGTAATTTTATAAGAACTCGAGGAAGCCATCCCAGTTGCTTTCTTATATACACTTGCTAGATACACATCTTACAAACAGAATGTTCATCAAAAAGTGCCCTCCAGGAAGTGAAAACCAGACTCATTCCATGACTCATTCCATACACAAGCATCAGTTCTAAAGTAGAATGGAATACCAGATATCTGGCTAAATAGTTAGTTTGCTTAGTAATATACTTTGGTGATCTCACTGTAACTGTGAACAATTGAAGTAACCACCCTCAGTCTCTAAACTGGAGAACATTCTCTACACATAAATGTTTTAAAATTAAAAAATAATTTTATAAAGCTCCTTGGAGGGACTCATTATGTTCTCATCTCAACAAATTCCAGAGAGAAATAGAAATCAGATAAGCATGCTGCAGTATGGGCCAGTGTCAATAGAAAAAGTGGATAAATTAGGGATTTTTTTTTTTTGAGACTACATGTTATTCGGCATGGGGTCTACATTGCCCAATTTAACAAAATAATTCCAAAAAATGCTTTTTGATATTTGAGAATGCAGATACACTGCATTATTATTTACCCTCCATTGTTTAATTCAAAGCATAAATGTATTTTTAAAATACATTTTTATAAAAACCTTTTTAAAAAAAAAACTTTAAAAAGTAAGGAAGGAAAGAAGGAGGGAAGGAGAAGAAACAAAGGAAGAGAGGCAAGCAGGCCATTGGTTCCTGGAATATATTTACTAATATTTATAAAGACATTAGTTTAAATGAAAATGATTTGGAAGGTCGTATGTTAAGTCTTCATTTCATTAAGTTACTCAGATTGAGATAAGTGAAAATATAAATAAAGGAATACTGTCATTTTTCTCTTAACACAATTGACAGAAACAACAATGAAATAACTTGATCTTACTAAAACGACTTAATTACAAATCTTAAATGCACCGACTCCAAAGTAGTTAATTGACCTTACTGGAAAAGTTCACGAAAAAAATATATATGCTGACATTAGCATTACACCAGAGTGCCTTCGCTGTTTTAAGAAAACAACTCATGAGTATTAACATTTATTTCTCTTCTGGCTTATAGAAAGCCAGACTCGCCAGGATCCGGGCAGCCAAAAGCGGAAGTGCTAATGCTTACATGCAGAGCAAACGGAATGGCTTACTCAGTAATCAACTACAGGTACAGTCAAGCATTTCACTTTTTTTAATGTTCGATTTATTAGTGTAATATTGATTTAGTTCCATTTAACCATATAATTTTATTGTGGGCAATTATGAAAATGGCTACTGAAACAACAAAAGTGTCATTTTTAAATAACCTTGCCCTGTACAGTCTCATTGGCTGTATGTAGCAGATTAGAACCTGGGCTATGAAATATTGCCAGTGAATCATGACTCCCATTCATGATTGGGCAATATTTCTTCACTGCCTTATTGAAACATGGGAAAGGTAAAAAATTCTCAACGACTCAAGTACCTATTTTTATTTCAAAATTATTTATGTTCCTTAAAATTCATTTGTGTGGGGTTATGATGTCTTGTTTTACTTCTTAATGGAGGGGAACACCATTCAGTGTTCTAAAGCTCACTAGTAGCAAATACAAGAGAAACTTCACTTTTACCTCAAAACTTTCCTTTAATATTTAGGCTTCCAATCATCTTGCAATCGAAATAGCTTTTATGTAGGTGAGCACGATCATGATTTCAGGATTATCTAAGTACTAGATTAAAATTTATTATCCAAAAAGAATAGCTCCCAGGCTTTCAAAGGTAGCTGGTAGTTGAATGAGTAAAACCGATTTAAATTTTCAATTCAGGGAGGCAAGTCTAAAAGCCCAGACCGCTAATTTGACAGAAATATAAATGCTGATTACCAAAATTAAAAGCAACTGCACATTTGTCCCTTTTTGGTTAAAAGAAAATTAAAATGCTGCCATTTAATCTCGGGAAATAGGCTAGCTCTCTCTCTGGAAATGTGTAGCTGAGGTTCTCATTGTTTGCAAATGAAATAGAAAGCACTTCTGTCTTCTGTGTGTTACCAGTCTTCAGAGGATGAGCAGACCTTCATGAGCAAATCCGGCTCCAGCTTTGAAACCCAGCACCACCACCTGCTTCACTGCCTGGAAAAAACCACGGTAAGGAAAAGGCATGACTGTCCGCCCCTGTACGGAGACAGTAATACCATTTGCTTTTGTGGATACTGAGCGTTTCCAAGTATGATTTCACTGTCTACATTGCTGGAAAATATACTAAAAATGAAAAAAGAAAGAAAGAAACCCACAGTATTTGAAATTGCTTTGAAAGACTCTAGTGACATTTCAACTTGAAAAGTATTTTAGAGATTATTTAAAATGTTTTTATCTTCAGAGATTATCTTAACTCTAGTCTAAAATATCAGTTTAATGCCAATGGAAAGTCGTTTCCCAACAGCTGACTGCAGGTCCTGTAAAATATTATTTTTCCTCGGATAATTAAAATGTTAATTAAACAAAAACCAATGTAGTTCATGTATTACTGACATCTAGGTAAAGGGAAAAACAATAGCAATAACAACAACAAAAAAAGAGAGTAACTGAATATAAGCATCTTTCCATAAACAAGTTGTAATAAACAAGATGGGTAATAAAAACTATGTGTTCCCATAAGAAAAATGACCCATTTAATCGCTGAAGCCCGTTGGAACTGAGGATTGAGCCAGCACTTCTTCGCTTAGAAGCTTTCATTCGGATCTCCACTTTAGCAAATGTACCCTTTCCCTAGCTGGCTTGTCAAAAGGGCTCACAGTCTTCGACCACAAGGCAAAACAAAACTCTCACCATATTTGAATCAAGTCTACTCCCTCACTCCCCAGAGGTACATACTTATATTCTCATTTCCAACATATTCCCCATTCATTTATTCACTTCCTTATGCAATCATTCAACAAATTTGTATTACTTGCCTATCATGTGGCAGACAGTGAGCCAGACCCTGGATACACCATGAAGTCAGGTGTGGCTTCTGCCTCCCTCAAGCTTCCACATATGGGATAAAACACAGATGTTACCGGAAGAAGGGTCATGAGTTGCAGAGGAAAAACGAGGCCACAGTGCAGTGCCACAGAGGGCGGAGTCACTAGGGGCTTTCCTGGAAGAACTTGCATTGAGACCCACAGGATGCCTAGGAGCTAGTTAGGCAAAGAAATGAAGGAGCTAAGGGGTGATGTGAGCACCCGGGGACAGGGTGGGGGGTGGTGGCTGGAAGTTGGCCTAAGAGGAACTGAAAGAACTTGAGGGTGATCAGAAGATAGAGCATACAGAGACTCAAGCAGAGACAGAGAAAGTCTAGATAATGGAGGCTTTGGAGGCATGTGAGTAATTTTGATCTTTATCTCATAATAAATGAAAAATTACTTGAGGACTTTAAACAGGGTCGTTACATGATTATATTTGCATATATATATATATATATATATATATATATATATATATATGCAAGAGAGTAAGCGAGAGGGGAAGGGACAGAGACAGAGGAAGATAGAGAATCCAAAGAAGCATGAAATCATGACCTGAGCTGAAGTCAGCCACTCAACCTACTGAGCCACCTAGGCACCCCTATATTTGCGTTTTTAACTGAAGATCCATAACGATAAGGTCTATAACTGTTAGGATACTCTTTCAAAGGTAAATGGTAACATTAATAATCAAATCTATTTATCCCCATGCTCTTCTCTTTATTTTCATTTTTTACTATCTTACCTTTTATTTTTACTATTTTACCTTTCAAATAAAAATTGTCTAGCACCAATTAACATAGTTTAAATCGAGCTACCTACAAAAATAACCAGCAACAGAATGACTTCTTCACTTCCAATCACTGATGTGAAAAATTAGAATCTCATGCATTATATACTTGTATTTTGTGTGAGAATCGTGCATGGTAAAAGAAAAAAAACAGATTGTGAATCCTTTGTGAGCTATATTTTTTCTATAAAATTTGACATCGAAATTCACTTCTTAATGAAATTCCATCTTATCTGGTCATATTATTCTCTGGACTTTAAACAGTAGATTCTTAAATTTCAGTTACCTCAAAATGCTTGTCTCAGCAAAGAAATAACAAAATGAGTAACTAAAACAATCTATTTGCTATTGGCCAGTGAATTGCTTCAATCGTTTCACTAATATTCTAGGATGAGAGATGGTTATGTGGAACTTGGCATGTGCAAAGCCTTCCATTATAAGATTATTCCCACCTACACAATGAAAAAAAAAATAGTAATTGAAGTCATTCTCCAGCAGTTCGGACCAAAATTTTTTCTCTTACATTTATGAGGTAAAATCTTACATAGGCATTTTAGGAAGCGATTCTTTATTAAATACTATAAACACAAAATTTGCACTGTGTTTTGTCTAAAATGCGGCATGCAAAATGATGCCCATCACTGTTTGCCTCTTGGCCAGAAGAACTATGAATACAAGCAGAGCTAAGAGGAGTACAGCCAGTGATGTATCACAAAAGTAAGAAAGGAGACCTCAGAGTTCAGTGCTAACCTCTTCTGAATCAAACATAAAGTGGCACATTTTGCAGTATTTTATTTATTTAACTAATGGGTCATTTTCTATACTTGGAAATTTTAGAGGAACATCTGAAGAAACAGAAAGTATAGAGGCACCTGGGTGGCTCAGTCGGTTAAGAGTCTAACTCTTGATTTTGGTTCAGATCATGATCTCAGGGTCATGAGATGAAGCCCCGAGTTGAGCGCCACATCAGGCTCTGCACTGAATCACTGAATGTGGAGCCTGTTTAAGATTCTCTGCCTCCCTCTCCCTCTGCCCCACTCCTCTGCTGGCACTCTCTGAAAGAAAGAAAGAAAGAAAGAAAGAAAGAAAGAAAGAAAGAAAAAGGAAGGAAGGAAGGAAGGAAGGAAGGAAGGAAGGAAGGAAAAAGAAAGAAAGAAAAAGAGAGAAAGAAAGAGAAAGAAGGAAAGAAAGAAAGAAAGAAAGAAAGACAAAGAAAGAAGGAAAGAAAGAAAAAGAAAGAAAGGGAAAGAAAAAAGAAAGGAAAAGAAAAGAGAAATAGAAAATGTTTTAACTATCTCATTTTCTAATTAAAAAATGTTTTCAATCTCATGTGAAAATATTTGCTACTGTAAAACAGACAATCTAATTTGGGACATTCTATTAAAATAGCCTCTTTAACATAATTCCAAACTGTTTAAAAAATAAAAGTCAATGTGAATTTACACATTCACTGTGGGTACTATTTTATATGCATTTTCAACCATTTTTTTCTTTGCCTCTTAACTTCCAGAAATGATGTTTAAATTAATAAATGATATTTCAGGATAAGGTTACTCCATAAAGAGACACTAAATCAGCCTGCAGTTGTCCATCTCAAAATCTAACAGGGAGATTTTATTTTCACACAAATGCCAGCGTGAGCTGGCTTTGATATTCCAGTATTTATGAAAGCGGCTAGTTGCCCACTGGATAATCTAAGTGTATGTGCCTATTTGGGTTTTAAAAATAAAGCCATTCATTTCCTTTCTTAAAATCACAATGTGTTTGTTGCCTTTTTCGCATGTTCTCATGACTACGGAACAGAATCACGAGTTTGTGGATGAGCAAGTCTTTGAAGAAAGCTGCATGGAAGTTGCGACTGGAAACCGTCCTTCAAGTCACAGCCCTTCTCTCTCGTCACAACAAGGAGTCACCAGCACTTGCTGTTCACGACGACACAAAAAAACCTTCCGCATCCCTAATGCCAATGTATCAGGAAGCCACCGAGGCAGTGTGCAGGAACTCAGTACGATCCAGATCAGATGTGTGGAGAGAACCCCGCTGTCTAACAGGTACCCGAGGTTAATCTGTGTGGGTGCACACACCTGTGCCTGTTCCCAGAGCGTATCTCCACCTGCAGGCATGTCGCTATCTTGGTGTATTTGGCATTTTTTGGTATTGGGGCGGGCGTGGTGGGGGAGCAAATAATGTTTATTTACTTATTTTTAGTAAATACGCCTTAGAAGTACTGTGGCATCTAAATCCTAGTTCCTAGGGTTTAGTATGAGACAAACTAATACCGTAATAAGTATGCTGTAATATTCATTTGAGTCAAAAGTAGCAGTTGTACAGTGTGAAAAGTAGAAAGAAGACAAAATGGTCAGGCACAAACAAGTGTACTTCTCCCTCCTTACCTCCACAACTTTTTCTTATTTCGGCAGACACCTTTATACTCAGGAGCCCCTTATGTAAATGCAAATAGCCTTAAATGATGTTCAACACTTACTAAATGTTAGTAAGATGTTAGATGTTCAACACTTACTAAAGGAGACCAATTAGATTGACACTGGTATCATTGGAAAGGACTCAGCAGCACCTAAAAGAAATCGACACCTTCAACGTAACAGGGAAAAATAAAACTATGCCTATACAAGGCTCTTGAACCAATATATAATTTTGACCATAAAGGTATTTTGAGTTGCCAGAAGCACAAAAATCAATCCAACACACAAAAAAAGATAAGCGATATGCTACAATTGTTCACCTGTGGTTAGTTTAGGGACAACTTAAGTGAAATTTTTCTGGTGGTATTTTCCTTTGCTTGTCTTTATTTGCTTTCTGTTTTTCCCACAAACATGTATGTGCAACACAAAGTAATCCATTTAAACTATACAACTCAATGGGGCGCCTGGGTGGCTCGGTCGGTTAAGCGTCCGACTTCGGCTCAGGTCACGATCTCGCGGTCTGTGAGTTCGAGCCCCGCGTCGGGCTCTGTGCTGACGGCTCAGAGCCTGGAGCCTGTTTCAGATTCTGTGTCTCCCTCTCTATGACCATCCCCCGTTCATGCTCTGTCTCTCTCTCTCAAAAATAAATAAACGTTAAAAAAATATTTAAAAAAAATAAAGTATACAACTCATTAGAATGATCAATTCCTGCCAAAATAATTTTGCTTTGTTCTTCAAATTAAATAGCTATGTTTTTATATTAACAATCCATTAATTCAGCGCTGCTTCTTTGTTCTCATTCAACAATCTTTGTGAAAAACCTGGATGAGATTCTGAATTCAGGCTGTGTTGATTTACATAAATCAGATGTCTCTGGGACCAGAATATTAAATTTTAGAACAATGAAAGATTTCTGTCTCTAAATGTTCCACCTCTGCGTTGCAAAATTAAGTAGAAAGCAGAGAAGTACTTAGAAAGAAAATTTTAGGACATAAACATTTTAAGTAAGATTTCCATGAAAATAATTAGATTTAAGTATATCACGTATACCCTTCTTGTTCCTTTCTCCTTTTCCCTCTATCCACATAGAGTATAAAAGTCGTGCAAGAATACTACTTAGGAAAATCTTGAATTATTGGTAATGGCTAACATTTTAGGGTTCTTAACATTGGCTGTCAGTAACTTGAGAGCTTAAAGGGCATCATCTTTCCCAAAGAGACAAGATAGTAAAATGATTCTGTGGTCAAAAGAACTGAGACACATTCACAGGTAATTGAGGTACATCCCTTTCATAGGAGCAGCTCAAAGCTCTCAGAGGTCCTGTCTTAAAGAAAGCGATTTTACTATGCCTAACCCTGGCTTTCCAAAACTGGCCTGAGTCTCTTTCTTGCATTTTCGTAGAAAACGCTTTGATAAACACTGCCTGAGCCAAATTGAGCTGGCTGTTAGACACTCATTTAATATTAATGACATGACCAATGTTCACTTCAACATATATTCAGGTTTAGGGCTTCATGTTTTAAAAATCATGGTGACTGTAATTAGATATTTGAAATGTTACTGACAAAATACATTCCTCAGTTGCAGGGAAATTTTTTTTAAGTAAACAACTTACTTTTTTAAATCTATTTTCTCCTCATCAGCCGATCCAGTTTAAATGCCAAAATGGAAGAGTGTGTTAAACTAAACTGTGAACAACCTTATGTGACTACAGCAATAATAAGCATCCCAACACCTCCAGTAACCACCCCCGAAGGAGATGACAGGCCAGAATCTCCTGAGTACTCAGGAGGAAATATTGTCAGAGTATCTGCTTTGTAAGACAATTGGAACCAGGTCTAAGAGAATTTGAGCTCTGGCTGTGGAAAGAATTCCAATGTGGAAGAAAGAAGAAACAATAAACCTTTTGCAGATGAAAACAGCAAGGCAAGAAGGTTGGCAGTGAAATAAAAACAAAGCTTCCAAACTTGAGGATGGAAATAAAACCACCAAATGGCATTTCTAGACAGAGTCTGACCTGTTCTACAGAGAAGTAGTCTGTGACCCTTTGACTTTGTGATTGAGCACAATGAAATGCCGCCTAGCGATGCTTCTTATGATCTGAACTCTTTTTTAATAAAATAAATAAAATAAATCTTTGAACATAATGTTCCAGTTGAATGCAAAACAAAAAAATATGGAAAACATTTTGATAAAAATTTTTCCTGTTAAAACCATGAACATTGGCTATGATGAAGATTATTACATATTAAAAAAAAACTCATACAACACATTTGTATTGACTGAAGGAAACCATCATAATGCATGCTAGAATTCTTTGGAGCAGTGATCTCAGTGTCCTTATGTTGTCTTCAGAATAGGCATGATAAATTATAATTGTAGAAAGGGGGACTTTCTGTGCACTTACAACAAGCTGATTGCTCATGTTCCATGGTGGGCTGTGCAAATTAACTCCTTTCAGAGCTGCGGTATTTCTCATGGGGATGCTCATTAGTAAATCTAAAGCGTTCGGATAGTTCAGTATTAATTATCATTTTACCTTGCACCTAGATACTGTTACAACTGCAATAATTCATTGTACACCTGTTGTATCAGGAATCAGGATTTTTGTTGTTGTTGTACTTTCCAGATCCTCATAGATACAGTAAGAGCCACATACATAGAGAAACTTCTGGTGTGGCCAGATTTTAGATAACTTTTTAATCCAAAACTATTGTGCCATAAATGTTTTTCAGTAATATTCTTTGGTCCTCTGTATTCGTGTGACAGTGCATTATCTGTTCTTGTATTTCTATAGCACCTTTTCGTGGGTTTATCGTCATCAACTGGACTAACGTTTTGTAGCTCAAATGACTTTCCTACTTTTGTATTCCCCAACATATTAGCTTGTAAGTAGATTACCATCATCAATCCCCTTGTCAAAAATTAGGAAAAAGGAGTTGACATCTATGAATGATCTCTAACTTCTTTGCTGTTAGGGAAAAGCCCAGACACTGGATATATCGTTCTGTGTTTCAGGCAAAGAGTAGGCTGGGATGAATATCACAAAATCGGTGATCCCAGAGTCTCACTTGATGTATTATTTATTTTACTTTAGATCTCAAATACATTTTGAGAATAACTAATGTGAATTGAAATGCAGAGATAAACTAGAGTGCTTTATGTAGCAATATTTGTTGAAAGCACGCTTTCTATGCCGTTGGAGAAGGCAGCACAAATTTATCTGAGAAAGGCTCCTGTAGACTGCAGGGAGCAATTTTCTCCGCTAAATCAGGAGGATAGGAGTTTGATGATGCAAAGTTGATCTCTATGTACATTGAAGTGAAAAGTCTTTATACCTTTTCACCTTTAAACTATATCAGCAGACATGTCTGCACGTGACAGTGTAAAAAAGTTGTATGTCAAATGAAAAGTTTCGTTCATTCCAAACCACCACTGTAAGAAATAAAGTTTAGCTTCTGTACATGGAAAGAATTAATAACTATCCCTCTACTATAGAGATTTTAAAGTGCTTATCATAATTTATCATAAAAAAGACTTAATCCAACCATTTTCGAGTAAAGCCAGAAATTCTTGCTTCCCATTTCTAGAATAGCTTCTAGAACAGTGCTGTGCACACAGTAGATATTAATAAACATTTGCTTCATAAAAGTAAGGCAAACTCTACTATCTCTCGGGAAGAACTGGCTTTATACCTAGTATGTCTTTTAAAAAGTTACTAATCTTCCTGGAGCGTGAATATTAACAATTATACTAACACCTGCCTCATGTCACTTTATGCTTCTAGAGAAAATATATAGCGAAACTTCTTTGATGGCAGTGGTTGAAAAACTTCCTAAAAAGTAGACTAAGGAAACCACAATCAGGAATACTTAGGTCTTTTGATTCCCAATGAAAAGTTCTATTTTCATGTTCTTAATACTACATTTAAAAAAACGAAGTTAGATGATTTCAGTTGACAATTCTGCCTCCTTTTCAACTTATCGTTTATCCCAAACTATTAATTTCTTTAGATTTTTGGAAAAGAAAAAAAAACTTTTTGGTGTTTTAGGTGATTTAAAAATCTACTGTGTTGGTGGTGAATGACTATTGATGACTGTGTTAAGTGCATCTGTATCGTAAGTGAAATGTAATTATTTCTGTGTACCATATGGAGTAACCAAGGTCATTGTTTTTGGCAATTTTGTTTGAAATTCATATATCTTATTTCAAAGGATAGCATAATACCTGCATTATGCTGGAAAAAAATAGACCTTTGGAGAATACTTAAATAAAACATGTGCATGCTTGAACAGGACAACATGGTTGACTGTTGCTCTTTTTTCTTACACTTCCTCCCTTTCCAAAATCTAGGCTACATCATACTCATATTTGGGGGAACCTTGTAACATGTACAAACTCAAAGAACCCGTCGATTGTGAGGAACACTTAAATCTGAACAGTGGAGATAGTAGATTTCTGCCAACAATGGGAACTGAGGAAGAGACTTTAAGAAACAAAAAAGTTAATATCACCTAAAGAGTGTCACTGCTTTGGTGTGGAGGTTCCTCAGAAAATTAAAAATAGACCTACCCTATGACCCAGCAATAGCACTGCTAGGAATTTATCCAAGGGACACAGGAGTACTGATGCATAGGGGCACTTGTACCCCAATGTTTATAGCAGCACTCTCAACAATAGCCAAATTATGGAAAGAGCCTAAATGTCCATCAACTGATGAATGGATAAAGAAATTGTGGTTTATATACACTATGGAATACTACGTGGCAATGAGAAAAAATGAAATATGGCCTTTTGTAGCAACGTGGATGGAACTGGAGAGTGTGATGCTAAGTGAAATAAGCCATACAGAGAAAGACAGATACCATATGGTTTCACTCTTATGTGGATCCTGAGAAACTTAACAGGAACCCATGGGGGAGGGGAAGGAAAAAAAAAAAAAAAGAGGTTAGAGTGGGAGAGAGCCAAAGCATAAGAGACTGTTGAGAACTGAGAGCAAACTGAGGGTTGATGGGGGGTGGGAGGGAGGAGAGGGTGGGTGATGGGTATTGAGGAGGGCACCTTTTGGGATGAGCACTGGGTGTTGTATGGAAACCAATTTGACAATAAATTTCATATATAAATAAAAAATAAAAAAAAAAAGAGTGTCACTGCTTTAGATGATGGTTTTTGGAAATATGTTGGCAAGTACAACTCCATAGCTACTAATTGAAGTATATTACAAGGTTTTGTTGGTCATTACCAAAAAAGGGTAGTATGTTTAAAATCAGTTGTTTTTGTATATGTGATATTTTTAGAATACTTTCTGCAATGTATGACCCGGTTTATTAGCCAGTACCCTACATCCCACATGCCTCTTGGGCAGCGTGGTCCACAGAGAAGTAAGGCTGGTGCCTGAACCTTACATACTTCTTGACTACCACTACTTAAACAAAGTGAAGCTCTGAGTTGATGACATTGGTGAGAACTCAATCAGATTCCCAGCCAAAGACTCTTTTCAATTTAGGAAACAAAGTGTTATATTTGTCTAGCTATATGTGTGTGTATATGTATATTTATATGTATTTATTCATATACCTACACATAGATTTTTATTCCTTTTCTTTTAAATGCACATCTGATGGTTTCTCTTCAGGAGGAAACAAAAAACAAGGAAATTTTAAGAGATTATCAGAAGACGGGAAAATTCAGAGTAAATCACAGACAGTGATTCTGAATAGTGATAACTAGTGATGCTCTTGGTGGATAGTCTCTTTTTGTTCTTGTTAATTCTTTTCTTTTATAGTCTTTGATTTATTGAGATGCCAATCCTGCGTTAAAAAGGTTTAACACACCTCCCTATTCCTTCAACTGAGTTACAGTGTTGGCTTGGAAATAGCCTCCTGGGAGTTATATCAGTGGCTGCCGGCACCATTACTCAAAAGAATAAAAAGGGTTCTTCATATCAAATACATGACTCCTCAGAGTTTCATAAGAAAGGCATCTCCTCTTCCCTGGAGTGTTATTAGGTGTTTGTTTTATTAACTCACAGGTACAAAAATGATTGCTCTGCACTGTGTAAATTTCATCAGAATTTTCAGCACAATTGGCATAGGCACACTGTACTTTAAAAAAAAATAAGAGCTTAAGTTGGATATACATCAGCTGGTTGTGTTTAGGGTAGCAAAACATTCTCAAAAGAGTAAGATATTTTACCTGTGAGGAATTATTACTTTTGAACAACAGCGTATTTGCTTAAGAGAATTATAAAATGTATTTATTGCAAAAGTTTTTAGTGGAAATAATATTACATCAATATCTTCTAATTCTTTGTTCTTTACTGTCCACTTTACCTTTTCCCTCTTTTCTCTTCAAGCCATTCTTTTACTAGATTATTCTCTCCCTTCCCCTAATCATTTTCCCATTTTCCCGTTTTTTTTTCTATGGAAATCCACTAGGTAACTACTGCCCATTCTATATATAATTCAAATTCTTGAGTGCATCACATGGGTCAGACATTGTGATAGGTGTTGGGGAAATAGAGATTAAAAATCCAAACCAAATCCTCTCCTCAAGGAGATATATACTGGAAAACAGCTTAACATGCTCTCTGCTTTACGCTGCTAGGCATAGTCTTATACTGCAAGTATTTTTCTTTCTGCCATAATAACAGTCATTTTTCTGCTTCAATCTGCTGAAAACATGTCTTCGAAGGAGGCTACGTTGAGATAGTGTTCTTTAAAGTACTTTCTAAAACCCTCCCATCATATGATTAAAATCTTTGTGTGGTCCTCTTTCTATGGGAATGCAGGGAAGGGCACATGAATCCCTACCTGCCTGCTTGGAGAGAGAGTAGAAAACAAGGCAAGGCAAAACAAAACAAGAAAAGAGGCAGAACTTCACATTTATGATGTGAGCTTGGTAAAAAACTAGACTTCCCCAAGTTTGCACTCTGCCCTTCCTACCATCGCCCCAGATTATAAAGAAAACTATTGAAATAGCTTTGCAGGAAGAGTCTCACATAACACTGTTGTGAATCCTACTGCCCCTCCCCAAATTCATTCATCCGCTTAATCCCCTTGAAATATCTGAGAGACACTCTGACAATAAGAGCAGCAGGCCTAGAAAGGAAGGTGAGTCTGTAGCAGCACTCACCAAAAAGGTGGGCCCAGGTGGTCTGGGTCAGTTCCAAGGAATGAGCCGGGCTGAAGAAGGGTATTGAAGCAAGAGTATCAAAGATGTGGAAAGAGACTTAGAGGAACCCTAGAACAAAGATGTGGGTGTTGACACGGGCTACAAGGTGGTAGAGAGGCATCTTTGGGCTTTGATTCCAAATTCAAAGCCTTTTTGACTTTAATCAAGTTAGAGCTTTGTTAGAGCTACAAATCATAACACCAAAAGGTATTATCTTAATCTATGATCAGTTTTTACTATTCAGGCATAGACAAATTGCTCAGAGATCTCCTGGGCTCCCTGTACAACAGAGAACAAAACTCTAAAAGAGCCAGTTCTATAGTACCAGTTCTATATTCTGGTACTGAGAAATGGGAAAGAGATTTGAAAGAGCCAAAGCATGAACCTTGACCTTGGCAAGATGAATCTGTTAAATTTCCAAACCAGAGGCACTGGATATAAAATTTTAAAAAGTAAAAATGTCATGCTCATCACAGGTTTCCATACGACTTATCTGGACTTCATGCGCATTATTTTTATTCCCAGCCACCTGGTAAGGAACCAATGGACAAGCCACAGAAGTTAAACCCGAAGGTGTCCTTTCCAATACACAGTTTCTTTCTTCTGTAAGTTCACAATGAACAGTAAACAATTATGATTATAGCCACCATGAAAAGATAACAACAGTAATGATGACTGCGAACTTCTACTGTGTTCTAAATATATACCAGGCACTATGCTCATGACTTTATATGTATCAGTCCATTAAGTAATTATATTATCCGAATTTCTGTTGAGAAAACTTTAACACTGAAAAATGATGGCTCTGAAAATTCCTATTCAGGTAATATAAATTTTTGAATTAAATCATGTATTTCTGGATAAAGTTCCCTTTTGTAGAAATATAGATGACATTTGTTTTTCTAGTGTAAAACAGAACTTAAATAAAATGGGGGCAGGAAGAAGCCTGGTTATAACCATGCTGTGTTGGTTGCAATGTCCTTATCGAAGACAATCACTGTTTCTTCCCATTTTCATTGTTCTAAATTTCTCTTACCTTGAAAAGCATGCTACTAAGTTGACAAAGATTTTTCCAACAACCCCATAGCATGGCATACACATTGAGATAATTTTCCAGTAACAAAAACAATGATGTGTTAGGACATCCATTATCTCTCACTTGCTTCCCTTTTTGAACAAGGCCTGCCAAAATGTTCAAGGTTGTTGATCAGGGCTGTGGTGATGACTGTGGCATCTCATTGGCCCATAACTCATCTCCCGGAGGCATATAATAATGGAACAGAAATGTTTTGGAATTCAGGTCAATAACCACAGTTCCCATCTTTCATTATCTTTTATATTTTCCTCAGATTCTTGTAGGCAAAAATCCCAGAGGATGGCTATGAAGTGCCCATTGGCATGTGAAATAAGGTGCAGAGATTTGGATTGGCAACATAACTGTATAATTCAGTATCCCAAATTAAGATGATATAATTTAAAATATCCTTGGAGTTTCACATCTTCACAAAGAATTCCAAAATTTTTCTGCAGGTCGTTGATAGTTTTTATTTGCTCCTAATAAAATACAGAGCTTCAATAAAGGTGTAAACACAGACATTTGATTTATATAGAACTGTAGAAAATTTAATGTACCTTTTAAAATGGTACTTGGGATATAACTACTTGTCATAAAACTTCTTCTTTGGGCTTCATCGTTTGCTTGTTTTATGTTCCAAAATAACATTGGGCTATTAATAATATCTCTTTACTGTCCATCTCACTCTTTCCTTTCCTACTTCTCCATAGGTAAATGTGTTAGTCATCATAAGTATTAACATTGTGCCCATTCTTTTCCATGAAAACTTAAGTCAAAATTATGATTAAAAAGAAATGTAATGAAAATTTGATATTACATATGGTTAATCATGGTCAAATCCTACTGAAGATGATAATGAAGGGTAAAAATTCTCGTGTCTGTTTTTTTTCCAAAGTAGGAATATACAGCAGGTAAACCCTAATATAAAAAAAATCACAGTATGTTTTGAAAAAGAGACATATATATAATATCAGATGGCTCAACTAGTGTCCAAAACAAAATATTTTATTCATCCAAGGATATATGGGCCCATTAATGAGAGACTAAAA